TGAAACCCTAAAGTTCTAGTAGAGTTTGTGTAACACATTGTCTTAGGGTAGAAGATATTGTTTTTTCAGATGAATTACGATTAATAAAAATATGTTAAATATGTTATAATAACTCATATACACCACATTGAATATTCAAAACATTATTTAGATCGATATTTTTTTTGCACAAACCGTCTCACCGTCAGACTCGTCGCACCGTCAGCCTCGTCGCACCGTCCAACTAGTCAAACCGTCGCACCTTATCGAATTTCGCAAATTTAACAAGTGAAAATTGTAAACATATTGATTATCACCCCAATGAACAATTATCTTGGATTGAAACTAATCCAAGATCTCTAAATTTAACATATTTTGTTTTCTTGACAATGTATGATCTCTCATATGAAACTCTAAAGTTCTAGTAGAGTTTGTGTAACACATTGTCTTAGGGTAGAAGATATTATTTTTTCAGATGAATTACGATTAATAAAAATATGTTAAATATGTTATAATAACTCATATACACCACATTGAATATTCAAAACATTATTTAGATCGATATTTTTTTGCACAAACCGTCTCACCGTCAAACCGTCAGCCTCGTCGCACCGTCAAACTAGTCAAACCGTCGCACCTTATCGAAATTCACAAATTTAACAAGTGAAAATTGTAAACATATTGATTATCACCCCAATGAACAATTATCTTGGATTGAAACTAATCCAAGATCTCTAAATTTAACATCTTTTGTTTTCTTGACAATGTATGATCTCTCATATGAAACCCTAAAGTTCTAGTAGAGTTTGTGTAACACATTGTCTTAGGGTAGAAGATATTGTTTTTTTCAGATGAATTACGATTAATAAAAATATGTTAAATATGTTATAATAACTCATATACACCACATTGAATATTCAAAATATTATTTAGATCGATATTTTTTTGCACAAACCGTCTCACCGTCAAACTCGTAGCATCGTCAAACTAGTCAAACCGTCGCACCTTATCGAAATTCATGTTTTTATCACGTATAAACTGTATATTAATAATCACCCTATATAACAAATATTTTAAGTTAAAAATAATTCTAACTCCCTAACTACAATACTTTTTTTTATAATATACGTTCTTTCAACTAAATCCTAAAATTTTATTACAAAATATAAATTTAGAATGTATTAATACAGTATCTTTATTATGTCATTACATGAATGCAAAATTTCCTAGGATATTGTTTTCGCTACCCATTTATGACAAGACTCGTAATAAATAATTGTCATTCTTTTTATCATCTGTATTCATTATGTTTGTATAAAACAAACATATAATATGAGTAATATGATCAGTTTGAAGAGTAAGACCAGATTGATGAGTATAACTATTTTGATGAGTTTTGCGAGTTTGCCCAGTTTGGAGAATTTACTCGATTTGATCCGTTTGACTCATCCATATCATATAGTTCAAATATAAATTCAAATACAACAAAAATTATAAATGTCCAAAATGAATAACATATTTTAAAATGATAAATTATCTATTAGCAAGAGAGAGGTGGAGAGAGAAGAAAGCGAGAGAGAGACGAGAGAGAAGAGACAGAAGAGAGAGGAGGAGAGGAGAGAGAGAGCGCAAGAAAGGAGAGAGACAATGGAGTGAGAGGTGGAGAGAGGAGAAAACGTGAGAGAGAAAAGACAAAAGAGAGAGAGAGAGGAGGAGAGGAGAGAGAGATCACAAGAAAGGAGAGAGACAATGGAACGAGAGGTGGAGAAAGAAGAAAGCAGGAGAGAGAGAGAGAGAGAGAGGTGGACAGAAAAAAAAGCGGGAGAGAGAGGTGGAGAGAGAAGAGAGAAATACAAAAGAATTTTATTTTATTTTATTATATTATATAAATTAATAAAGGGTATTATAGGAAAACTATATTTATAAGGTTATATTTGATGTTGTCTTTTTTCTTTTTTTTATGAAGGGTATGTGATGAAGTCCAATGTATCATTTAAGGTTATTTTTGCAATTGGCCCGGATGAAACAATAATAAACCTCCTCTCTTGCAGTATACAGTGTTTGATCAGCTGAAACAGCGTCTCCTTAAACAAGCAAAGGCAAAAGCCAAGACCGATTCTTCCCCGGAAGCCCTCTCCGCCTTCATGGCATTCTTGTTAGGTGCGGTTTCCAAAAGTATTGCCACCGTCATCACATATCCAGCGATAAGGTATTAAAAGGCAAAGTTACCGGAATTCTTGATTACCCAAATGTAGGTTATTTGAATCAAGATCTCCAAAACTCGTGGGCGAACATCAATGTCCATTTCGGGCTCGGAGGGGCTGATGATCGAAATGTCTCTGTTTCTGCAGGTGCAAGGTGATGATTCAAGCCGCCACGAATGACTCAAAGGAAAATGAGGCCAAGAAAGGCTGGAGAAGGATCAAGAAAACAATCCATGGGGTTGCCTATTCCATATGGAGAAAAGAAGGGGCATTAGGGTTCTTCAAGGGCTTGCAGGCTCAGATCCTGAAGACAGTTCTAAGCTCTGCCCTGCTTCTGATGATCAAGGAGAAAATCGCCTCAACGACATGGATTCTGATCCTAACTATCCGAAAGTCTCTGTTTCTCACAAAGGGTAGGCTGAAAAGTCCATGATTCTCTGGGCTTGATTTGCAGTTAAGATCTCAGTTTATCTGTCAGTGTCTGAAATTCGGGGCAAGACAAGAACTCAACAAGAAGTGGTATATCCTCATGTTTCTCCTTTCAAGAGATTTCTGAATTTCCATTTGGTGATGATCACAAGGATCTGAGGTTAATGGGAGTTTAGAGAGAGATCTTTGCTTTGTTATATGGTTCTGTAGCTCCTCAAACTTCAGGGTCATCATACGAGAGAGAAATAAAAGAAAAGGGGTCCCTTTGGACAAAATCCATTAATAAAAAAAAATGTTTTTTATTACGCATTTTTTATTTTTTTTATAAGTATAAATAAGTAAATCATGCAACGGACGTGAGTGAAGCTTTAGAACGAAAAAGAGGATCTTTGGCTTTCCATTGCCATCAAAACCGACATCGTATAGATTTCGGGGCCATTTGCGTTTCTCGGAGAGGGAGACGAACGTGAGAGAAGAGAACGGGAAGGAGAGCAAAGATGATGTCCGGCGGGAACTACACGAACATCGATAGCCAGAAAGTCTCTGGATCTGTTCCTGTAAGTGCTTCCGTTTTTTTTTTCTACGTCGATCTGGATCTCGAATTCTCGCTCGTTTCTGCAAGTGTATGTATGTGTGTATACTGATTCATTTCATTGGAAATGTCGGATCTCGAGCATAACCTCATCTGATCAGATCCGGTTTCGTTTTATTCTAATTTCTGTGGTAGGCTGTTCCAGATCCAGGTCATGTCTCCGTCAAATTCACAGGTAATTTTTTTTTGTGTTGCGTCGTGAAATTTTAGGTTGCTGAGAAATTTTGGTAATAGGATGGAATAGGAATGAAGCTTAGATTTGGATTTAGTGGCCTTGTCTCCATGGAACATCATGTTGATTTAGTGATACGATGGGTTTTGTACGAGAATCGCTATGGATTTTGGTTCTGGTTTTTTGGTTAAACAGATTAGGGTTTAGCTGATAACAAAGCAGATCCGTGGCTCAAATGTACCTTATGCGTTCTACTTTTTGATATTTTCTCTAGGCAGTGCCCTAAAGCAAAAGATAACAGAGAGAGAGATGGATGTAGAGAGAGATAGAAAATTAGGCGATTGGAATTGGCGCTTTCTGCTTGTTTATTGTTGTGATTTGAAGTTGTCTCTCTCGTCGCACTAACAGATGCATCATTTGCAGAATCTAATCTTCAGACATTTCCCCCATCCGCAACTCAGGGCAAGATCTCCGGAGGTTCTAATCCTCCTCGAGATGCTGACGGTAAATTCGAAATTCAGATTTGTAAGATTCTGATAATTTTGATTTCGTATTAGTCAAGACTCAAATCCATGGCAAGGTCATATTCTGATACCAGCTTGAGGAATCTAATATATGAAAATTTTGAATTTATGGTTGGGACAACCGGAAATGTATTGATTAACTGTTTAATGCAATTGGCGGTATCATTCTCTTCAGTTCTGTCTTGTCTTATGGCTCATTAGAAAACCTTGACTGGTGCAGATACATTTTCTAGGCCTGTGAATGGTACAGATGAGCCCCAGCCTGGTGGTTGGCTCCATAAATTCACAATCGGTGCTTACAAGCCATACTTTGATGTTGACACCTCGGATGTATTAGAGAGACTCAGAGAATCGCTATTTCCGTTCAGAGGAACATTTACAGAAAAGACAGCGAACAGCCCTGACCTGTAAGACCATCTCTTCTAGTCTTTACTACTTGCAAATGAGCAGACAGACCCGACACAGCATGGCCCAGAAGGAATTTGGGATACGGTTTTTTAAATCTAAAATCGAACTAAAACAGAATAACGTGATTTCCAGGTACGGTCCGTTCTGGATATGCACAACCTTGATATTTGTAGCAGCATCCATCGGGACATTCGTCACATACATAGCACACAAGTGGAAGAAACAAGAATGGGACTATGACATTAATCTGGTGACTTGGTCAGCTGGAGTGTTCTATGGCTATGTCACCATCGTTCCTCTCGCATTGTACGTCGTTCTCAAGTACTTCTCCGCACCGTCAGGCCTTGTCCAACTGTTCTGTCTCTATGGCTACTCCTTATTCGTCTTTATTCCCGCATTGGTAAGTTCAATTTCATCGACACATTTGGTTATGAAAAACTCGAGATCATGATTTGCTTTTTCTTGCTCATCGCAAGGGGTGGCCATTTCAGGTTTCCATTTAGGTTCAGTTCAGGTCGGTTATATTTGGTTTCGACTATTTAGGTTTTAGGAAACTACAACAATTCGGTTTTTATATAGAATTTTGTTTGGTTCGGTTTGGATTCAGCTTTTATTTGATGAAAATACTCATTTTTCAAAGAAATTTCGAGTTTTTCTGTTATATTTTTATTCAGTTTGGATACGTTTATATGTTATTCGGTTTGGTTATTCGGGTATTAACCAAATGGGTCACCGCTGTTCCTCGCAGTGTCTATCCATCGTGCCGTTGGAGATATTCAGATGGGTGATAGCAGGTGTAGCGGGATTCATGTCGGCGACATTCGTGGCGCTGAATCTGAAAGCGCACATCAATTCGGCGGGGGAGAGATGGTTCCTGATCGTCGCCAGTATCTTTCTCCTTCAGCTGGCGCTTGCGGTGGTGTTGAAGCTGTATCTGTTCACCGTCACAGTATGATGAACAACACCTCAAAAGAGGAATGCCCTTTTTTGCAGAGAGAGGTATGATTCTGAATTTGTCGATCCAAGGTTTGTCTGTTCCCATTTTTTGTACTCTCTCTGAAACTCCTGGTTCCAAAAATGCAAGAACAAGACAAATTATACAATTGTTATGGAGATATATATACGCTCAGTTGACTTTGTTGTAGAAACAGTAAAATAAAAATCGATTTGTGTTTTCTTTCATGTTAAGGTGTTGAATTATTTCTGCTTATCATGTAGTTTACAACGTATAAATTCCAATTTTTTGTATCACGGACAGTAAACAGCTATTTTCCTCCCCTTGATTAAGACGGAGAAAACGACATTAGTAAATAAAAACTGAAACTAAAAATAGAAATATGACAGACAGGCCGATTCCCCAGGATGGGTTGCGCTTTAATACATGAGAGAGAGCAATCAATCGCTCAGTCTAAAATGCTGTCGACGCCAAATTAACATTTGCGGAAGAGAGGCAAAAAAAAAAAAAAATCTAATCCACTTTGGTAAGAAACTCTTTACGCTGAGTTCAGTTCAGTTTGGTTCCCGAGCGCATATCTGGACGCCACTGCCGCCAATTGACGCCGTGAAGCACTGCAACCCATTCGACTCCAGCTCCTCCACCACTTTGTCCACCATCTTCCCTGAAACATCTGTGTTTTTTTTTGTTGCAGATTCAATGTCAAGAAAAAAAAAATCAAGATTCGAGATTCAAAGGATCTGAAAACTCGGAGGAGGAAAAAAAGGATACGGGTCGGTAAGAGAGTGAGGACGCAGCCTCCGCCTCCAGCTCCTGTCAGCTTGGAGGCGAGCTTGTACTTGAGAGTGGTCCTGAGCACAGTCTCGATCGAGGCATGGCTCACCCCCATGGACTGGAGCAGTCCCTGGTTCATCTCGATGAGCTCTTCGATCTTCTCTTCTTTCTCAGCTATGGAGGAACTCTCGCCCTTCTCGTCAGACTGGATGATGGCTGCTAGTTCTTTGCTTATTGAGTCCACGGCATTGAACACCGAGGCCATGGCCTCTGGGTGCCTCAGGGCTCGCTCCGAGACTCCTGCTACTAAGGCTTTCGTGTTCCGTCCCACTCTCGTGTTGGTGATGAGCATTCTCAGCGGTATGTTTGACTGCAACCTGGTTAACTCTCCGGATCTGAACTTGATCATGTTACCTGCAACCTCAGAACAAACATCATAAAGGGTTACACCATTTTTGTCTGGAATCGAGAAAGGGACAGTGTCTATGGATGGGACGAACCGTATGTGCTGACGGTGTTGTCGATGCCGGAGGGTTTCCCATGGATGATCTTCTCGCCTTCGAACGCCCATCTGTTCAGCAAGTCAAAGCTGGTTTTGTCAGGAACAGACCACCCATCACGGGTTTCGTCAAGAGATACAGCGTTTGAAGCCGCTAGGAGCACAGCCGAGAGAGCTACGCTTAAAGCTGCGGATGAGCCAAGACCAGAACCGTAAGGGAGCTCAGAAGTGACAACCACAGTAGCAGGTTTGAACCTGTCAACAGAACAGAACACAAGACAGAAAAGCTCCTTTAGTAGTAAACCAAATCTGGAACATACACTGACCCTTGTCAGGAATCAGCCAACCAGGAACCTCATAACGAACATCTGGTGGAAAAATCGAAACTTTTCTTGGTTCCGGGTGGAAAAGTTTGACATTCACAGACAGAACAGTGATAGGACAGTTGTAACCGATGATGGGCTTACCCTATGATATGGGCGTATAGCCAGAGAAACGTGGATATTCCAGACGAAAGCCAGATCTTTGCCTCGGGAATATTCTGCTCTTCGACCAAAACGGCAATGGATTTAAGTGACTGGCTTGAACATGAAGAGGGCGTCGAAGGACAGGGGATGTTTGTGTAATTCATCAGTTCCTTGAGTCTCGCCATGGACCATGAGAACTCCAACGCCATGTCCTTGAGCTGGAGTGTGAGCTTATCATCGTTTTCACCTGTCAGAAATGGAAACCAAAATATGAGAAAACGCAGAATCATTGTCAGGGATTTTCCTGCAAGGAAAATGAATTGTCAGTCAAGAAACCCATATTATCACCGAGAATTTTGGTATTTGGGAACAACGTCTATGGTGGGTTTTTTGTGTTTCGTTCTCTCTGTCTGAACCTTTGAATGATTACGAGAGATGAATCATTAAGGACGAAAAAGGTCCAAACTTTCTGCAGATGTTCACTGAAAATCTAGGAGCTCGATCTCAGAATCTATAACTTATGATCCCAAATCTGAAGAAGAACATAAACTACCCAGAAAAAAGAAAATCTCCACGCCCAGAATTTGGGGGAGGGCAATCCAATCGGGCAGACAAATAAATGGAAAATAGAAACCATTTTTCAGGGAAACGAATCGCAGAGAAAGTGCAGATAAGAAGATTAATCGGAGGGTGAAAAAAACGGAAGAGAGATTTTCGGACGAGGAAAAAGAACCTGATTGAAGAGGAAGAAGGCGGAGAGTGACGTAGGTGTAGAGATCAATGGCGGCGGCGACGGCGGTGGATCCATGGACGACGGCGTGTTCTCCGGCGAGTATGATCTTCCCCGGAGCTCTCGCTTTCACCTCCATTTTCGCTTGCCTCCACACAGTGGTTCTCTCTCTTCCTCGATCACTTTCCGACAAATCCAATGTCTTTGAAATTCGTCGGATTGAAGATAACCCAGAATAAAAAGCTTTGATCTTTTAGGAAGAAGAATCGAAAAGCCGGTCAAATCTGAAGTGCGAATGAGATCTTTTAACGATTGCGCAATATTTTTCACGGGAACGTTGAAAGAGAGAGAGAGAACAAAACAATCGATTTCAAAGCATGTGCAAAACAAGGCCGGCTCCTCATTCCTTATTTTTAACATAGGTATGAACGAAATATTCATTAAATTATAGAGAGAGAGAAAAAAGGACAAACTTTTGTACGTTGTCCTGTCCATTTCAAAGGATGATCTGTGTTTTATAAGTAGGTCCGGGCACGCCACCGGATTTTCCATTATCCGATATGATTCGTTGAGTTGGGTGTTTAAAATTTGAATTTCGAATTCAAGTTCCGGGTCTTGATCGATGATTACTCGTATTCTACGGATACCCATCTGCTAGAATCGGTACCAAACCAATGCATTACATACCATATGGAGTTTTTATAGCCTCAGTCCTCGTCCAAGATGAACCAGTAAGGAGCGAGTCACTGCTGTACTTTGGGTTCACTCACAACGACGCCGTTTCCAATTTCTCCCCTCCGGTTTTTGTTTGTTTTAGGGTCGAGGGCCGTAGAGACCAGACGTGTGGGGATGAATCTTCGTCTTCGTGTTCATGCGGAGGAATCCCATTTCAATGGGTTGTGTTCGCTCAGTCCAATTCGCGTAACAAATGGCTACTGCATTCCTCAAAGTCTGAAACTTTGTTCGAAATCTCGTGTCTTTCTCTCGTTTTCTTCAGTTTTGGACCGAACCCAGATCGAGAGCTTCGTTGTCTGTGCAAGAAGCAAGAGAAGAAGATCATCTGGGCACCAAAGCGCAGCGAGGCTCCTGCTCAAGTCGCTGTCGTTGTTGACCAGAAATCTCCAGATTTTACCAGAGCCGTTGGATTTTGTTATAGCTGAATTGGGGGGCGGTGGAGATGGAGGAGGGGGTCTAGGGTTTCGGAGAGGATTCGGAGGATCCGATGGATGGCGAAGAAAAGGGAAGAGAATATCCCTGTCGGTGTTCTTTTGGACAATTCTAGGGTTCTTCGGTCTCTGCATTATTTCTGGGAGTAAGAAGGGTGACATGATTTTGCCGGTTTTAGGGTTTCTCTTCTTCAGCATTGCTTTGGCCAAGCAGTTGAAGATCAGATCCAAAGATTTGGCTCTTGGGGTTTTCTGCATCGGAGCTTCGCTGTTTGTGGGATTGAAGATGGAGAAGAAGACGTTCATCAAATTAGCTGAGGAAATAAGGAGTCGTTCTTCTGTCCGTACCCTTGAAAAGAGGAAAAACAAGAGAGTTCACAGAAGAGTGTAAGAAACGAGATTTGAGTTCTTATCCTTTTTCAGGTTTCCTTCATTTTTCCATGTCTTCTTCACGTTCCGGAATCCAAATTCATTCGTTTTATACATATAGATACACACACATAATATATATATGTATATGTATAAACAGGCTTATATATTTCTTTTCTGCACAAACTCCGAGACCAATAATCTGATCTTCTTGATAAGTCAAGTCGGGAACTCACACGGTTTGGTCAGTGTTTTCCCGGCCAAACAACAGTTCGATAGCATCATATTAACTAACTGAAGAAACCTCTCTGATGTCTATTAACGCCTGAAACGTGAAGGGGATTTGGTAAAACATTACAGTTAAAAAAAAAAAGGAGACAAAACTCCCAATGGAATCAGAATCCAAAAACCCTAGGAACCCGGTGTGTTCTCATCATCTGTATGCGTCTGGTAAACGGTAACCAGACATCACAATTTTGTCAGTAAACATCTTCCCGGTCTTGGGCATGACATGCCAGTGCATTGTCAAGTTGAAGTCTTTCCCTCGGAGATTGTGTCCCTGCATGTTCCGATCACCGTTGGAATACTCTTTTGCCGAGATGGCGTAAAAGAAACAGAGGGCGGGTTTGGAGGGGGGCGTTTCCTGTTACCTGATCAATGAACCGATACTTATTCGAGATTTGAATCCAGAACTTTGCGTGTTCTTTGGCGGGTATTATAGCATCCCATAGAGAAACCTGTGGGAAAAATGTCATATTTCAAGGAATTCAACAAAAGGGTCCGCATTTTACTTGACAATATTACAGAAATTTGACAGAGAGAGCAATAAGGATGATACCTGGTTCAAGGAATTAGTCGGGGTTTCATACTCTGCCGCTACAAAAACGAAAACCTGCAATATAATTCGTTATAGTGTTAACTTTTGTACATACGACCAAACGGGAATGCAGTATCCAACAGATTTCAGTATGTTTTGCAAGAAAATAGAGCAGATGTTAAACCTGCTTCGTGTTCCAAGTAAACAATGACCGCAAATCCGCCGTTATGTTCAGCGTCAAGCTGACCTACATGAAACGGGAAAAAAAAAACATTAAACAAAAGAAATGACAGATGGGGCAACTAGAGAATCACAAAAGAAGAAACCTTAAAAATACTCAGTAATGACAAACAAGGGTCCGAGCTAAAGCTTATGAGCTACTACCACTTCTGAAATATCATAATCAAATTCCTATGTATAGCAGATCATCGATAACTCCAAGGATCGGTAGCTGGAACTTACGGATAATCCAGAAAATTTGATTCATGGACAGCAGCTGCTGCGATTTTTCGGGACGAAAATGGCAGTCTAAACTCTTAGAAGATAGAGATCACAGCTGATAACCGGTACGAATTGGGAGTACCCATCTAACCATTTCTCGCTTAAATTATAGAATCCGAGGCCTTTACAGGTATAACAACGCTTCCTAAGATTGAGAGTAAGCTTCTCTAAAGCAAGGCTAGAAATGTGCTTTTTTCTAGAATTTCCATCTTCTTGGCCCACCTTTACCACCACCATCATAGATCGAAAATGAATATGCAAATGAGAAATCAAACATGATTCAAAACTCTAAATGCACTCTAGCAGATACGGAGTTCAAAATGAAGCAACTTAAGCAATACACAGAACACCTGTAGCGAGGAGAACCCCATATAATAAATGACAAAACCATGAAACCTTACCTCATCATTTCCATGGGGTTGCTTCTGAAACCAGTTGATATTCAATATCTGTAACCAAGACCCAAAACCCATATGAAAATTTAGGGATTACCATGATTACAAAACCAAGAAACAACACTTCCTGGCTTCAACGGCTGAACTCCAAGTTCACCGCCAAAAAACGCCAGAATCAAAATTAGGGTTCTAAACAACCCAAACCCAGCAAAAAGAAATCGGAGCGACCACAAACAGATCCAATATAAACCACATCTAAAACAAGATCTATACATTCGAAAATAGACATACGAGCCTTATACCTGGATCTGAGCAGAAGGAGTTGGATGGTTGAAATTATCGGAGAAGGAGGCGATCGCGCACATGAAAGCGAGAATGGTGACGGAGAACGTGAGCAGAGCATTGGCTCTGTAACCGAAAGCATGCATCTTTGGCCCTTCCCTTCGAATCACTCGTTGGGGCTCTTACCGTTTCCCGAGTTTGGTTCTTCCCTCACGATCTGTCTTTGTTTCCCAACCTATGTCCGTACGGTTTGGAAGAAGACGGACGTCTTGTTTGTGTGACTTTTCCAATCAATTAATTGATTTAGTACTTTTAAAAATTATAAAAACATTACTGTTAATCCAAACCATAACAAATTTTTTTTTCATTTTTTATATATCAAAGAGAATTGTTTATACACAATTACGAGAATAATTATTATATATTTTTCTTATTTCTGAAAAATATTATCAAATACTCGTATTTCACTATTTTATTGACTTCAAATATCCCCGATTGTCTTAATATAACCGACACTGATGTTGCAATCACATATAAAAAAATGGGCTTAAACCGGAACCGGTTTATTTTGGTTTATAGTCCAATTCGAATAATCAAGGTCCAATATGTAAATGATAAGATACAAATATCAAAGCGCACAGCCCATTACCGTATGGTCATATATGAATCTCCAATTATATCATATGATCAATTATACCAATGGTTGTTAATTCATATAACACATGACACTACATTATAAGTTTATAACGAATGACGTAATAATAAATAATACCATCAATTATTTTATTTTTTTTCCCAAGAGGAGGAAACAGCAAAAAAAAAAGACGAAATAAATACACTTTCAACCACATGCACATATATCTGAAAATTATAATACCCAATTTACATGACACTACAACTGCTAGCGCTCTCATCGTTGAAGAAGTGAGTGTACGAGTCGGGATTCGGCGGCGGCATCGGCGGCGGATGAGCATAATTCACGGCGGGGTACGGCCTTGCATACGGCATCATCGGCTGGTACATAT